TGACTAATTTGCATTCATCCGTAAATATGAAGGTTTTTGCTGGAGAGAAGACACTTACTGTCATCTGTTTGATTGGCATGAAGTCGGCGCTCTGCCTGACACGCTCAAAGATCTTGGCGAGTTGAGGATTGATGAACGCATCGTCTAAAACACACAGAAACACAAAATGTTCCTCAGCAAGACATGGAAACTGAACTGAAAATTTGCAAAAGACACATTTTTTCAAAAAAGTACTGGACCTAAGGTTTTTTTAAGATTATAATAATTATATCAACAGGCACACAGAACAACATAAAATCTCACATGCCTACTGGGGAAATAAATCCTGATAAGCAGATTAACTGAGGAGGTATAGGAGCTCCAGACGTTTTGGCGAAAACTGCGCTCTACTTGGCAGCGACTGCGACTATTATTAACCTTTGAAACAGCTGGGACCTCTGAAGGTGAGCACTATTTTGGACTTGTGGTGAAAGGGAACAACGGCAGCATTCCCGCTGTGACAGATAAACGTCAGCAGAGGGCAGCGATTTTTATTGATTCACTCAGCTTATCTGCACCATTTACAGGATCTGAGGCCGAGGACCGCCTCCGTCATTATTTAGGAATCACCGGTTTAAAGATAGCCGCCCCGGCTCTGCCATCCGTGTGCGCCAGGTCTGAACCTGACAGGAAAACAGTGGGAAGATTATGTCCTTTTTGCTTGAGTACGTACGGCTATGTTTACTCATTCCCTGAATTGCGCTTTCCAAGTTTGGACCAGCATGTTTATGGTGAACCTGAATACCACAGGAGGGAGCTAAGCAGGACAAGGTCGAGCTGTGGGACAGGCCAGCGGTGGTAAACAAATTCAGGACGAGGTGTTTATTGCCGTTACCTGAGCTGGGTTCATAACTTCGCCGCAAGCCTGTCTGCTGCGGTTAGCGGTGTACTTTAATTATCTGGAGATTGCTTGAAAGCAAATAAACCTGTAACCCACAGGCAGGTCAGTGTCGGTGCAAAAAGCTCCGACGGAGAAATAACGCAGACACGGCCATAAAACATCTGTGTTTTCATTCCTTTTGCACAATCAGCTCGAAAGGAATGCATCCCGTTGACGAAAATGAATTTTAAACACATTAAGGACATCGATCCCCCCGTCGACATCTTCTAAAACACTTTGTGAATCACAAACACTATCGTGAGGCTTTGAATAAAGTTCTCGAGAATAAACGTTATTAATTTAATGTTCTGCAGCTCCCCTTGGATACTTAGAGCTTGTCCAAGTTTGAGAGCGGCTCCTCTGACTTTGCACAAGGTCCTGACGATGCGCTCAGCGTTGGCCTCGGACAGGAAGGGGCTGGAGTCCAGAACGGCTTTCTTATTTTCACCTGGGGAAAAAAAATAAACAAAAACATTTTATTTGGGTTTCATAGATGTAGGCTTGAATGAAACAGCAGAGGATTCTGATTCACATCTGGCAGGTTTTCATTAAAAACAGATGTGATGAAACCGGTCAAATTCACAAAGTGTAACTTTTTTTCCGCTACGTTTAGGAGCGATTAAACGGGTTTTCTGTTCTATGACTGTCTCGGATTTTGTTAGAGGACATCAGTGAATCAAGAGACGCAGCTGAGGGGTGAAGGAGAAATCAGTGGGGGATGTTTATAGCAGAGTTGTCTTATAAAACAATATCTTTAACCCTCGAACATCTCACAGTTCTGTTTCCAATTTTCCACAAAACTACGTAGCAGACACGGTGAACACCCGGGCAAAAACGTTGCAAAATGACGCAAAAGCTCTGAACGGTCTGACAACTTGGTTTGGCCACAGACAAAATAAGCCTGACAAGCTGGATTCTCTCATATTTCTGTAAAAGTAAACAAGGAATGTCCTGAGTTTGGGAAAAAAAAAAAAAAAGTGTCTGAACCCGACCAAACATTACAGATATTTTAAAAAGGTGCAGCTTTCTCGCTCCCAACCTCGTCCAGAACAGAACACGACCCGCTGTAGTTGTAAACATGTGGGGACGACAGTCCGCCGGGCGTCGTTTACAAAAACGCGCCGAGGCGGGGGAGTGATTGTGCGTGTTTATGTCAGTGGGCCATCAGGTAGACACCTCAGGAGGCTTTGGCAAAGATTTACCCATCGTTCGGAGCGTTCTCGCTGGGATTAGAGAATAAATGTAGATAAAAATACCGGCCAGCAGAAGCACAAAAGCCTGGGATTTACGCCGGGCAGCTCTGTTACAGCTTAGGATTAGTAGGTCATTGGAACAGAGAGGCAGCGCTTGCTTAAGAGGCGAGCTCATCGGGGAGGCGGTTTTTGAAATATGCGTAACATGTGACGACGTGCATGAGAGACGACGAGATGTTTTCATCTCGAGTGGAGAAGAACGCATAACATGCGATGCATGTCTTAATGTAGACACTCAAAACATTAATATTCACACCAGAATAATAACTTCGACGTGTTCACTGTACCTGCAGCTCCGTTCATTCCGATGCTCTTCTTTGCGACTTCTGCCAGGGCTCCAATACCTAAACCCACAGCTAAACCTGTGCAGAAACAGAGACGCACACACAGATATTCCATTAAATTCATTTATAAAGAAATAAAACATCGATGCATTTTTACACGTAGGTACAGATTACACTCAAAGCAGCAGGGACACTAGAAAAAACAAAAAAAACGGCGCCATGCAGTGACCTGAAAGAGCTTTTCAGTCAAACTGCAAGCATGTAAACATGGAGCGTTTCTCTGTGTGCAAAAGTTCGGCGCTTAACTCTGGCCAATGAAAGCTCCGCCGTGGAGCAGAGCAATGCAAACCGAGCCGCTTCCTTTGAGGAACCTATCTGTTGATAGTAAAAACACAAAGCAGAGGACTGTTTGTGAACAAGTTCCTCCATGTCGAGCTTTCACCTTACGTAACCTCGCATTACGTAATCTGGTAGTCGGTGCGGACAACAAATCTGAGCCGTGTCGCTGAGCGTGGATAAAAAAAAAAAAAAAGGAGGACGCTGTGCGTCTTTACCGCCCGACATGCAGCCCGATGTCCTCAGCAGTAATCGCGGCCTAAATGTACGGAGTCTGAATACGTGAATCCAGCACAACGCTGTTCTTTTAATGCTGATGTTAGAGGCAAAACAAAAGACGGACTCCTAATCGTGCAATTAGAGGCGAGTATGAATACATCTCTCTAAGGTCAGTGTGTCCTCATCCCTGTCTGACAGGCACTTTTCCAACTCGAGCACAAGCGTCTGTCCATCATCTGATCCGACGGAGCAGCAATGCGTTTACAAAAATACTGCTCTGTGTATGTGCTCTGCCAAACGCCGTCAATTAACTATTATTTACACAAGACAATTTCGAATACAGCTGGTATGAAATGAATACATCTATAGTTATTTAAAGATGGCTGCTATTTATAAAACATATGTTAGACAGTAACATTTAAAACACCTTAAATAACAATTTTAAGTCGTACCATAAAAGCACATGCAGTTATTGCAATATTTATTTGCATTATTAAAGGAAGGAACAAGCACAGCTCCTGCCACAGCTGCAGATAACCAAACAGCTCCTAATGAGCAAAAGGTTTATCAAGGAAGAATATGGGCGGGTTTTATTTTAATGACTGTACTTCAAATGAGTTCTCTGTAAACTAAATAACTTCATATGTGGGTCTTTTTTTTATTAATCAGTGTAGACTAATTTGGTGACACTTGGAAATAAACATCCGTGTCAGAGTATCAGCATTGAAATCACCTAGTCTATCTTTTTCACAAAGATCACAGATCAGAGCATACACACAGCAAACTTTTATACCCCTGTTGGGGTACCTGTTTGCTAGGTTTCCAAGCCACTGAACTCAGACATCATGTAGTCCAATTTCCTTCTTATCACTGGCTAAAGAACCATACAAATCTTCACTTGTGCACTCAAAATTAATCTGGAGACATGCAGCAACTTTTATCTTAGACTTACCCAACAATTCCATAATTCTATGTTTTTTTATTTTTATTTTTTTTTTTAGATATGCAAGATGATTTTCTCACTCAAAAAGTCCTCAAAACCCTCAGCAAAATCTTTGACGTCAGTGAAAATCACGGCAACGGCAAGAAGACATCGGAGCTAGGTTGTAGCCAGGGAAAGAAGCCAACCGAGTCATGACTATAAACCTTGATACTGTTTTTGTTTTTCCTTCTCCCCGTATTAAAATGTGTACATTTTCCACACACGGCTGTGTGAAAGGCAATGAACCTGTTGATGTTTCTTACCGACCATTACTGGAGAGCGAAGGACGAGCAGAGGCCACGTTGCTAAACCTGCTCTGCCCACACTTTTCAACACCTTCTAAGTGTCACGATCGTCGACATGCTGAATCAGCTACCCGCCGCATGGCGTTGCGGCCCCAGTGGGTCCCGCTGGACTGGAAACGAGCTGCAGCTAAATTCTGACGCCCGTGTTTGTGTCGGCCGCGTCCTCTCCCAAATTTATCCCAGATCGCTCTGGGTTTAACTTTTGCTCGCCGTGTAGTCGCTTTCAAAGTTCCGGTTTAAAGCTGACGACAGATTGTCGTGTATACAGCATCTTAAATTAAGCTACAAGCTACAGACTGGATGCGCTGTAATCTGAGATTTTCCCCATTCGTCTGTGATTAGTCTGAGATAGATAAACTACAGGGTGTTGAGGATTCTCTGTAACATTCGCAGCATTTACCCCGGAGGCGATGAGGTTAAGAACCGTCATTACAGGAGCGTTTTAGACTAGAAGATAAAAAGTCTGTAATGTTCTGTTACTGATCTTGTAACACCGTGATCCCGTCACGTAATGATTGTGAAGCCAGCGGCCCAATCTTAAAGGAGTGAAAGACCAACTCGAGTAATAAAATTACTCCGGTGAAGCTTGACCAACGTTTAACACCGCCTGTTCGAGACAAAGAGGACCCCGTCCTATCGGGTCTAGTAGCCATGACCCAGTTATCGGTATCAGGAAGGAAGGAAATAAGGAAAAAGGAGAAAAGGGGCACGAGGGAGTAAAGACAGAAAAATCCAAGGATTACAAGAAAGGCAAAGTCTGACATTTGAAAATATTTCAACATGAACAGTCATGACGCGGCAACTAAAATTAATCTACCGGCTACTCTTCTTACGGTAAAGGAATTTCAAAACTACATCTGGCGAGCTCCCAACAGCGCATTTGTTATTGCAGCCAGCTACTGGCAAGCATATCGCCTCAGTAATCAACCAGTTAATATCTGCTTGTCTTCCTCATAAACGGATATCTCTAACTCCAGCCCTCCAGGGCCTGTTAACCGCAACTTTTACACGCGTCTCTGCTTCAGCACGCCTCGTCCTAATAACTGGACCGTCAGCGGGAGGCCGCAGAACAAACAGGAGACATGCAGAGTCGGTAATTTGGCCGTTTGTTTCGAGGCTCCGTGGACTTGCGGTTAAAGATCCGTGGAAGACATCAAAAAGATTTTATATTCTTTACTGAAAAATTTTAATTGGGTGGCCTGTCTAGTGAATGTTAAGCTAATATACAGAGTAGATGCCAATATACCTGTAATTACCAGTATGTTACATTATTTCCTGTTTGATTAGGAATAATTGTTGCTTTGAAAATGAAAATCGATTAGATTGTGTGTGTTCATTTTTGTTCTAAATTTCTGCTTCAATACCAGATGTATGAACCATTTAGTCAGGGTTATGACCCCTCAAAGGAGTCTGCTGATAATAGTTTTTATTTATTCTTTCATAAACATGATCTAATCATTGTGGTTGTAAGGATATTTGTTGCAGCTGTGAACCCGGAAAGGACTCTAGCAGTAATATAATCTAGCTCACTTATTGGGTTGTTTTTTTGCCATGGTTACAGCCTGCTGCTGATGTACGTGCACACTCGCAGGAGGGCACCCATGACCGCAGATGTAGTCAGACCGACAGCCGATGAGTCACCCGCAGACTCAGACGCAGTAATCTGGTCGTACCTCCAAAGTTGGCCAATCTGCCGAGCCGGGTCACAGGCACCTTCCTCTCTCTGGCTTGTTCGCTCAGCTGCGGACGACACAAAAGTGACGAAACCTTCGCATCACGTTGTTAAACCGGGAAGCGCAAAGCTGATGTTTGCCAGGAGTACGAGCGCCAGCTGTTGTTATGGGAACAGGAGTTACCATCTGCTTGTGCGGCTTCGAGTCAGCCCTCTTGCTCTGGCTGGTTTTCTCAATGTCCTCAGCTGTCAGTCCTCCCACTGAGGACTGGTCCTGGTGGTAGCTCCTGAACTGGTGTGGATAATGCCTGCTCAGGCTGTGGTTGTACCGCTGATGTCCAAGGAAATGCCTGTAAAACACGAAAGACATATTATTACCGTTAAATACACAATCCGACAGAAATGTCACTTAAAAATATAGGCTGTTAACAGAAACAGACCTGGCGTGTTGGTGGTAGGATCTTGTGTGACCACTGAACTGGCCGCTTGGATCTTTGTATCCCTCAAACATTGACTTTTTCCCGCTCGTGTTGCTGGTCCCTGCCAACCCGTCAGTACCCGTCTCTGTGTGATGAGCTGTAAAGTCTGCGTGTTCTTCCCTGAACTCCGACGATGCGAACGACGTCTCATCCTGAGGAAAATCCAACTCTGACTCAGAGGTGCTTTGCTGCTGACCAGACAGCTCCTGGAAACCAAAGGAAGACGTACTCGGGTTACAAATCAACTAGCGAGACGCCGCTCTGCCGCAGACTAACCGATTAAACGGAAACTCGCCTGTATTTTCGACATGGCTACAGACAGGCCTTGCTCTGCGGCTGATTGGACGGTCTGGACAGCGGCACCGACGCCTGCAACTCCTGAGTAAAAAAAATAAAATAAAAAATGTCATTAGGAATTTAAAGATGTGTATTTATCCTAAGTTGCTTACAGTTTGGTCTGATATGAAAGTTGTATTTTTCCCTTTTGCCAATCCAATACTATTGACTCGTGCGGTTTGTTGACTTGCCTGAGCTCCAGGTGCAAAACAGCAGGAGACACATTTTGGCAATGGAACAACTGTCCACCAAATCAAGCACAGATGCTGTGAAAGCTGATCTGACACCGTGCATATTTTATACATCACCCAAGCCATATGTTAAGCGTAGCACAAGACACAGAGTTTTACTGCTGCAACACAAAGAGGGATCTTTTCAAACATCAAAAAACATTAACTACATGAATTTTAAACATAATTTTGTACAAAGCTTTGGGTTACGACGCCCTGCGTGACCCCGAGACATCTTACTAGTGCGGCTGTTATGAGCTTATGTTGACTTTCAAAGCTGTAGTCTTTCCCTTCCATTTACCCAACGCCTCCAACTAATACTGCCAATAAATACGTGTTGGATTTTTTTGTTTGTTTTTAAGTACAGAAATCAGTATAGACAAAAGAAGAACCCACTGCTAAGGTACTTGCGAAAGAGATTTTTTTTCCCACAGATTATCATGTTATGAATAACAAACTTCTATGTAATCAAAAAGTAGCGCATAAATGAAGAGGAAAACAATACGTTAATGGCTATGCAAATGTTTTCCAGGAGAAAATTGGTGATGGCAGCATAATGCTGAGGGATATTTTTTTATCTAGAAGAGACGGTGGATGGGGAGAAATAACGGAGGCTGGGTTAAAGGTGAACCAGCAGGAACATAAATCCAATATCACAATTTCAATGGTTTAGATCAAAGCATATTTACATTGCGTTAGAAATGTCCCAGTCATAGTCCAGACCTACAATCCAGCTGTGAATCTGTGAGAAAACCTGAAAACCACAATTCGCAGATGATCTCTGGCCAATCGAACTAAAACTGGAGCTTTTTTTTCCCCCACAGTCACAGTCAGCTAACCAACATGGCTAGCTAAGTAGCATCTCAATTCCCCACATCGTTAAACATCTAATATTTGGTTCCAGGTCCACATACTGCTAAATAACTTGCAAATAAAAAGAAATGTGGGAAAGGTGTTAGAAAGCCGTTACACAGTGTACATACCGGTCCCACTGCGCACGGCGTTGCTCTGGGTCTCCACCACAGCCTGGCTCAACTTGGCCAAGCCTCGCATAAGCAACATCATATCACCCGCCATGATGGTGCTGGACACAGAAAGAACAACAGAGATTAACGCTACCTTATACATTCAGGGGAACATAATAAATTAATACAAATAAAAAACAAAAAACAAAAACACACATTCAGATATGTAACCCCGTCCACAGAAACAAAGACCTGAAGATGGACTAGGAAGCAAATGGAAAGGAATAGAACTTGTCAACACTCTCGTTCCTGCCAATAAGTGAGCTCGCCAACAAACATACACAGCTGTTCTGACTTTAAATCGTCACCTAAAAATACACGCCCTCCACTCTGTCCCCTGCTTGGATGAGAACACACACACACACACAGATTGGGAAAGGCGACTCTTGCTCGGGTGAGCTGTGAATATGCAGTCCAAGACCGAATCTGAAAATGTCACTGGAATTGAAAGGGGAGGAGTGCAAAACAAACGCTGCAGCTATTTCAGGACACCAGTCACTGTAGGTGCATGTGTTTGGTTTATGTTCAAGGCCTGAAGCCGCACTGTACCACTCTCTGAGGTGTTTTTTTTATTTTTTTATATTATTATATATATTTTTTTATATATATATATATATTTTATTATACGAGACTGCTTTCTATTAACCTTCATCTCAAAGCCCTACCACTAAGCAAAACAGATCGGGGTTAATTCAGGCCACAAAGTGAGTCTTATCTAAACAGCAGCGCTTTCATCTGCATTCCTGAGTGTGTCGCAATATTCTACTGCTGTTTTGACACACAGGTGATCCACCGAGGGTGCGACAATGCGCTTTGACACAACACAGTCGAGGCCAAGTGGAAACAGCTCATGCTGCTGAGTCTTAGCAAAATGTGAGCATGCGTGAAGCGCTATACATACACTGGCAGTCGGTAATTAGGTCATCTCCCTGCTTCAGGCCTGTTCTGTGTATACTTTACAACTCATGTGAACATGGGTGGGGAAAAAGAAAAAAAAAAAAAAAACAAACTTAATCATCTATCTTATCAGAGTAGTATTGTTTAACGTGTATTAGTCGGACTTTTGATCACGGCAAGAGGCCGCGGCTTTTGTTTTGGTTCTACAGGACCGGGAGGTAAAAGCAGTGAACCGTCATTTTCAGGGAACAAATCTGTTCATTCACAAATAAAAAGCTGACTAATAACATGAGTTATTATGGGGTTCTATGTTTTTTTTTCTTGTTTTTTTTTTTTGCAAATATCACCAAAAATGGTAGTAAATAAAGGCTGAAATTAGATTCACAAATTAAGCGATTGCTAATTGTATAGTTGCCTTACTAAGAGTGAATATTTTATAATAATTTTATGGTTGGTAGTTATTTCCAGGAAAATCCATTAAGTGCCAAGAGTGACCACTTTCTGGTCACACTGCAGAGTGAGGCAGCGATGCCCCTCCCCCACCTGTTGCTTGCTGTGCGTTTCAATCAAAGAAGGCTTTCATAGTTTTCCCATGCTTATAAACGATGATATGAAGCAGTAAAGAATAGTAAAAAATAAAATAAAATAAAAATTAGCATTAGATAACAAACATGAGATTGCAACAAGTTCAGCATTTTAGGCTTTTTAGCCTGGCCAGGACTAGAAGGGTCTGCCCTGTGGAGGGAAAGAACAGAAAACAGGCAGGAAGGGTGTGTTGTCAGGGCAACAGGCATGCATGTGGTCATGGGATCAAAGTCGACCTATCAGGAAAGTGGTAGCAGTAACTTCATCCTTGCAGTTTTATTATTATTATTATCATTTTGAGTTTTTTGTCCTCTCTTCAGTCCCATAACAGAGCAACACATAGAACAAAAACAAAAAATACCTTATTCCTATGATAGCAATACATTTGTAAAATTATAAGCAGCGTCTGCTAAGCAGCCGACTGCAGAGTGGCTACAGATACACTCACTCACTAGTTAGCCAATATCAACTTGCTGTTTGCGCAGTGTAAGTTTTAAATCTATTTTTAATGAAAAAATAGATTTTCCTAATAAAAAAGGTTTATTGATCTGCAGAAAACAGCTTGAAAACTATCACTTAAATTTAGCTGGTGTTAGCTCAGCAGTTTTTTTTTTTTTGTCTATTTATCAGAGAAATAAAATTATATATTTTTTATAGCAACAATAGTACAAATTGTAGCTTTTTTGTTTGAAATAAAAACTATTTGATCATGTTCTATAATTAACTTACAACTGAATTATAAAGATTCCACGAAATCATGCTACTTTCACTCAATCAAAGTATTATTACATCCAATGCAGTCACGTTAATAGTAAACCTATAATTGTTATCGATCTCAAAGATGACACAGGCAATCAACTTGTCAGACTTTGCGAAACGAAAAGCAAACAACTTTTTAAGAGCTTAATAAAACCGTTCATTTAAACACCTTAGAAACACATCAGCTGTGGGTAAACAGATTGATTGAGGAAATGCTTTTTTACCCAACACTGTAGAGAGGGAGAGGAAAAACCCGGAGGCTATTCTAAAAGCTCACACACTCTGTGCTGATGCGACGTATTGTGTGCCGAACTTTCTCTGCACAAGAACACACATGTAATCCTCAGCTGGCGTCTGCTCCACGGGACGATATGGGAATAGCTGAGCAGCTTGAGTCACTGTCTGAATGCTGTTAGCTGCACCTCATGGAGCCCCGACAGTAAATCATCGCCGCCCTTGACCACTGAGCCTGAGCCAAAAGTGGGAAACCGATTCCCGTTGCTGTGAAGTGGCGAAGTGCCACTGCGGCGGCATCACCACTTCTTACTGGGGAAAGCTGAATTAGATCATGTTCCCTGAAAGATGACGAAGCTGGAGTTTGGTCTCAGTTCCATGTTAGTAAATGACTATGTTTGTTACAAATGGTTTGTAACGGGTACACCACGCTGGTGAAATTTGTAATTGTCAATGTCATGTTATTTATTTTTACAGTTTTTGAATAGAATACAAATCACCTATGCTTTAACGAGTGAGTGGATAGTCTTGCCGTGTATACTCTGTTGGAATCAAGAGAGAACTGTGCAACATTAGGAAGACATAAAATTGAAAAATTATTGTTTAATATTGCTCTTGGATTACTCAAAATGTCTTTATAGTCATCACAATGTTTCTCATTCACCGTCTACATATTAGATCTCGGCGAATGAGTTGGATTCCGGATTGAACTAGAGATGTGATACAGAATCTCTAGTTCTTCTTACTGATTTCAATAATGTTTTTTTAGGTTAATATGGGCTTTTAAACAGGACAGTTATTATCGACAAACCCAAATTAATGAAGCAAGATGTTAATTGTTCTCTTAACATAGGTTTGTTAAGATTGGTGATTTCGGAGGCAATTACAGAAGAACATCAATGTAAACGTTTTGTTTATCTCTGTGACTTTTTTGCATGTTTGTTGCTCCGAATGAACCCCTCATTTTGCACCCAGACTATTATGGATAAACAAAGTTGCTTAGCCTAATTTTGGAGAAAACTAAGGATTCAAACTTTTTTTTTTTTTCAGAAATAAAAATACCAAACCTGTGTTTTGAAGAATCATACATTGAAAACCCTGGGGGCAAGGGGTCCCCGCAGAGAAGGCTTTTATAAATCTCAAAAGTGATGTTAAAGAATCTCATTTCTGTGTAAAATGTTTCAGATCAGATTCATTGAGATGATTAAGTGAAGTTTAAAAAACAAAACAAAAAACTAGAATAGCCCTCAGACAGAGGCACCCTTATTGATATAGCACATTTAATACTGCAATCACAGACTCAAAGTACCATAAAGGATAATAAATTTAGTAAATCATATAAACAAGAGTACGATCGCACAATAAATCAAGAGAGTAAGGCAATGAGTAAACAATAAAACATCCTAGTAAAATGAATGAGTCTTTCTAAAAGCTTGGAAAAACCGATCATAACAACCTCTAAAACGATTATATTAAATTGTCCGCTGTAATAATTAAAAATAAACTCATAAATACACCAGTCTCGCTTTAAAAAAAAAAACGTAAATATTTATAGTTTTTACTATCTAGCTACTCGACGTTATGCCATAACATCCTTTCAGAAACACTTTTACGCAATCCTCAACTTGAGAGTTATTGCAAGCAGTTTCACTTCACCTTTTAAAGGGTCACGCCGCTATATTCTTCAAAAAGCGACCACAGTGGCCTCCTTTTAAAATCTGCGACCGACGGCTTCCGTGGAGCCACGAGACTTGACGAAAACTCACGAGCCGTTTGCAAGTATGCACTCCCGAGTTCACGCTACCATTTTGAGCGTCTTAAAGCGTCCGTAGCCGTGTGGTTTGTGTCATTCGGCAGCCTGGGCAAAGTTTGTATGAGCAGCTCGCTAAGTTTAGCATTAGTGAAGGCGGCCATAGATCCGCCGCCATATGCCAGGGACGTCAGCACGCTGACCAAGAATTTGCAACGTAACCCGTTTCAGGCTGAAGCTGCGGAAAAAAATACGAGGTTATCGGTGCGTTGTTTTGCTCCCACGCGTCGATGCACGAAAATCAATCTTTGGGTTTGAGGAACTCACCAGCCAGCAGCTGTCCTGCAGAGTCTCTGCTGCTGGTTCCTTCCAAGTCTATTAGAGGTCAACAGTGGCAAGCGTCTCAGAGTAAACACTCCCCTTTTGCGGTTGCACAGTTGAGATATGGAGAGGATGTTGTTGTTGTTATTATTTTTTTGTTGTTGATTGAAACTGTTTGTAAGAATTGATTCCTCTTCTTCTCCTTCTCCTCCCGCTGCTCCTCCTGCAGGCAGCGTTTAATCCAGGCTGTCTGTCAACACGAGGTCAAACCCTGTTTCCCAACTTCATGTAGCAGCCAGAGCCACTTATTGGAGCAACCTTTCACACGGCTCACCTGAACAGTTTACTTTCCCGCCCCCTCGGTTCTTATTCCTGAAGTCATTGCTATGCATCTACACGGTATAACCTCGGATTTGCAGGGCTCTGGTTGTATTTTTTCCTCTATTAAGCCCCGCCCACTCTTTCTCATTGGCTCTTGATAGTTTGTTTACAGTCGAGAGAGTTATATCCGGGAGGCCCCATGTTGTTCCTGAAGGAAAGCAGTACAGATAAGCTCTGGCGGCTGTCAGTTGCATGTCAGGTGAATGACCTTCACACGCATACAGATTTACACTCAAAATATACATATGTCCAAGTGTTGTGCCAGCAGGAAGCAACACAAAAGCAGCAAAATAACTTATCACTCTCATTTCTGACTAACTGGTTTTTTGGTGCCATCTGCTGGTGGTAAGACGACAGCGCGGTGACGTGGACTCTTGTTTTTCCGCTTAACTTGGCGGTGTGCAGAGTTTGACGTTTCATACGTCTGTAAAGTCTCGTCTTTGAAAGATGGGTAATAAAAAAAAAAAAGTGCGCAGGATTGTAGCTATGGGCATATACAGTCCTGAAGAATTTTAGGAAGGGGATTTTTAAAGAGTGTGAGATAAATGTAAGTTGTTTCTCTGGAAAATAATCCAAACTCTAAAGCTTGAACCAAAGCTAATATTTTGTCTTTTTACACTACTTTCTTTATTATTATAAAGAAAGTAGTCTTTATATTCTTACGAATCAAAGAATAAAGTGTAGTGAATTGCAATTATGTGCAACTTTATAAAATTGTCGCATGTTCACACCCTTTTAATTTCTATTTAGGTCAGGTGATTTATGAAACATGTTTTCTATAGTCTACTGTCATCCTACTATAAGGAAATGTTAATGCACAACACAACGATAAACACAGAGATTGACTTCTTTTCTGATTATATTAGTCAAGGATTTGAAATAAAACTTATAGAAAAATGTGTAACAACAATTGAATAAAATATGCTATTAAATTAAATTGCGATTTGAGCACGTTTGTGATTACTCATGTCAACACTTCATAAAAATACTTTATGAACTAACATAAGCTGACAGCTTTTCAGAAAGCCTGTTACTGTCAGTGTATTGACAGTAGAGGGCGCCACTAACCTTTGTTATGATTCATAAACGTTTGTCACCTATGTCTCCAAGTAAAAATACATTTCTGCATCCTCTTAAGTTAGCATGTCTTCTGTAGAACTCTGTAGAGAGTACAAAATGTACTCATACATTTTGTGAAAAATTACTAGAAATAAAAAAAGCACAAATAAATAATCAATACAAATTGTTTGATACATTAAATCAACATTGAGGTAAAATTGTGATTTCAAATTCTAGAAAACAGTACTTCAGTTCTGACACCTACAATAAATTGCAATAAAAATGCAAAATGGAATTACAATTAGCTCAATATGGGAGAAAAAAGTAAAAGCATCTAAAGTTTCTTTCTTTAGCAAACACTCTTGAGGACTGAGCTTGAGTCCGTCGCCTCACACACACACAAAAAGAGGTGCGCATGTACAGCTTCTCTGGCCAAAAGCACTCACGAATCACGTCTTCTCTTTCCCAGCAACTCCGGATGCTGCTGCTGTTGTGGACAGGTGTGATTTGAATGGCAAATAAGCTTCATGCAAACCCAGCAATTAGTGTGGGTAAGGAGTGCAGCGTTGGAGGGGTCATAGTTTCAGAAAAAGTGAAATGCACAAGATGGATAGATGGATCGATAGATAGTTAGAAAAATATCACACACAAACATGTTTCACCACAAATGTATTTTTAAAGGAACAGTCCGAAAAATAAATACACAAACCAGCAACACTATAAACCTTTAACACCTACATTACACATCTGTAAGTGCACACAAAGGAAAACAGGCAATATTTATGCCTGCTAGCTCTGAAATGAATAGTTAGCATATTTCATTAAAACAGCCCAGACACGATTGTGATGTCTACCTGTTTCCTTAAGAAGGCACGGCGTTAACTTACAGTAATTCCTTATTTACTGTAACAGCAAATGTTTAATAAAGGCCAACCTGTGAAGAACGTTATTTCCTTCTCATCTACCAAATGATTCTAAAATCAACACCAAACATATCAATCTCATATATATATATATATTGTTTTAAATGCGTATTGTTTTTTTTAAAGTCATATCCCCAATTTCCCTACTCCGTGATTACTTCTTTAAATCCAACATGTTTAATGACAAATCCAGATATACCATTATTAAAAAAAAAAAAAAAAAATTAAAGCCTCCCACAGAATACATTGTGTTGTTTAAATAAAATCAGAACAATTTACAAAGTAATAAACATTTAAGAGAATAATAAACATGCACCCATGTTAGACTAAGCAAAGAAATCCATATTTATACCTAAAAACAAAAACCAAAAATTTTTTTTTCCCGCTTTCTGACTTGGCTTTGTAACGTCAAGGCACTGTGTAGCTTAAATAGGATTGTTCATGGCTGTAAGTGTTCCACAGGATTTAACAACAACTATGTTACAGTAAAAACCAAAACAAAACTACATAAAACTAAATAATAAATCTTTCTGTACACCGCATGAACTACCCAGAGCAACCAAAGAGAAACGTGTCAAGTGTTATAATAATGTCACAATTCATAACACTTCAAAACTACTGGGAAATGCGCTTTGTTTTCCTCTGTCGTGCCTCCTCATGGTGAGTAATTCCCAGACGACTGTGAATCAAACAACATGTTCTAGCTTAACTTTGACTCTGTCTGGGTGTAAAACTGTTGGGCTAATTTTTCTTTATATGTAGTTTTTAAACACACTTAATTGTACTAACTCTTTCCATGGGTTCCCCGTTGAAATTGATGTTTAAAATTGCATTAAAACAAAAAAGAAAAGAAAATACAATAAAAACAGAGTTACATTTTGTGGCTTAACGATGCTTAAATTGGCAATCTTGAACATTTTCATTTAATTGAATTTCTTAGATTTGAATTGCTGAACGACGTGGCTCAGTAGTGCTTGCACATACGCCTCACTGAACAACAGTACTTCTGTGTTTTACAGTATCGGAAAACCTAGTGGTATTTAAAAATAGCTCCTTTTATTTGAATATGAAGAATCTGCAAACAAGAAACACAATTTAAGCATCTGAGCATTTTTTTTTAGCTGTGTAACAACAGCTAACAATCTTTTCCCTCAAATCACTGGCTAACATTTATTCCAAAACTATTATATTATAATTACTATTCACTGGAACTGTTTATCCTGGTCCAAGTGTATATTCCATTATCTACATACTACTTTGCATTTTCAGAAATCACAAGCACACTAATAGCCAAGACATCAACAAATTGGAACATTTCCTGAAAAACTGCCAGATCCAGTTATTCCTAATGACAAGTAAACATACCATGCTGCTGCAGCTTCACAGCACAAATATTTAACCTGTTAAACAGCTGCTGAGATCAGATAAGGCAGTCACCTTAAATGCAATGTGTGTGTGTGTGTGTGTGTGTGTGTGTGTGTGTGTGTGTGTGTGTGAGACTGAGAAGGATCAAGCATTATTATTGGAAGAGCTCTAGAAAGTGAAACACTTTGTAGCTGCAAGACAGTATTGTAACTCACAATTATGCTCGTAGTGAGAGCAAATACAATTATTGACGAGACTAAATATTGAGTGAAAATGAATGTGAGATTTAGAGGTTTGACAATAAAGCATGGTTGAAATGTTAAAGATTGCCATTTTAAGCTCAAATATGGGTCAGATCTTTTTTTTTTAGCCCTAGAATTATTTTTCTGATTCAACACCATCAAAATAAAGCAGGACAGCAGAAGTGGAGGTGTGTTAGATATCTAGTCAAAGTCCTGCCAAATTTATATAAAATGCATTTTTAAAAAATTTATTTCTTGGGATTTTCTAAAAGAAAAAAAAAATTTAAAGGAAGCCCAAAACAACAAGCTGCACCAAACTACTGCTCTAATAGTGCCTTGCAGAAGTATAGTATACGGCTTGAGCTATTTCACTTTCTGTCACATTACAGCCACAAAACTTTATGTATTTTATTGAGATTTTATGTGAAAGACCAAAACAAAGTAGTCGTTAATTATAAATTGGAAGAAGGCATGTTTTTAAAAACTTTTTTTTTTTTTACAAAAACACCGTAAGAAGACGAGCTTATGTTTGGATTCAGTCTCCTTTTAAACGAAGAAAGACATTGTTGAAAGAAAGGCTGAGTATAATCTTCCTGCAGGAACTTTAAAAATGCATCCAGAGATGAAACAGGATCAAGGCAAATCCATGTGTTCGAATGGCCCAGTCAAAGTCCTAACCTAAAACAAATTCAGAATCTGTCTTGGAAATTGGCATTTACTGATGCCTCCATCCTGTCAGACTGAGCTTAAGCTATTTTTCAAAGAATGGGCAAAAACATCTAGTAAGTAGTTGAGCAAAGACGTGTTAAGTGGTTCTACAAAGCTTTGATTGATCAAAGCTGAATACGTACGGATGCACGTTATTTCATATTTTCATTTGCAGAAAATGTAAAAAAAAAACATTTATTTTTCTTACACTTCAAGATTACGTTACTTCATGTTGGTCTGTCAGATATCCAGATAAAAACACACTGAAGTTTGTTAGTGTAACGTGACAAAATGTTAAAAAGTTTCATAAAGCACAGCGCATAATATAATAGAATGCTGAGGCTCTCATTAACAATTAAATATTAGGTAACCTCTTGTTGGTTTAGGCCTTTGCGGAGAATTTATTTATAATATTAAAGTACGTCAACAGGTCTTAGTTTGTATTAGGCAAGAAGATTCGTATTGTTTGCTTTTCAATGGGAATTTCTTAAGTAAAAGGTTATGCTGTCAAAATGAGGTTATATAAGATTGACCTTTTTCCCCATGTTTAAACCACAGCACAAAATAACTCAATTATGAGGAACTGAGGCGCTGTCGCTGTTAGTAGTTCCACTTGTGAGGAACTAAGAGGAGCTGGACCATACGGTTTGCGTCGTGAGCTAAAGTGTCAGTGTTTCAAAGGTTTCTCCAGGAGAGTGAAGTATGAATGGAAGCTTTAATGGTGGTGTGTCCAAAAGTTTACTTGGTTCAAAAACAAAACCTTCAGACTTCAAGTCTCAGAGTCCACCATGGAGGAGAAGATGTCCACCAAGCTGTCGAGTCCGTAAAGGTAGCCGTCCTCTCTGTTCCCTTCTACCCATGATGCTCGGTGGGTTAGTTCCTCCCCGTCAGGGAGGGGCGTGGTCTTTCCAAAGTCGATCATCCACACTTTGGCGCGCTTCCTGCTGTCGTGAACAAATAAGAGCGAGCTGCCGATGACCTGCGAAGACACACAACAGCCATATGATCCAAGAGAACTGGACACAAAGACCAGAACCGAGCAGGGCTCCCACCGTTATTTGCTCAGCAGAACACGCCTTGTTTGTTTCTTTTCAAAACATTATCTCACTTCTCGTTTCAGCTTCATGCGAAATGTCTGTCTGTGTGTGTGTGAGTGCGTGTTTGCGAAAGTGTGAAAATGTGCGCGAGCGTGTGGTCAGGCAGTTAAGAGCCTAATTTCCATGATGAGTCTTGCTGTGTCTAAGTGATTTGGTGTCTTTACTTTACATTAACAACATAAACTGAGTAAACAGGTAACTAGGACTGGAGCTAACGCACGGATTAAATCCACAACTGGCTTGTGTTTAACTCCCATCAGCTCCAACGGAAATAATAAAGCTGCAAAAAGACTTTTGCTAAAATCCATACATCAGTGACAAAGCAAAAAAAAAAAAAAAAAAAGGATGCATTTAACATATTTTTCAGAAATATAATCTTACATGCAATCTATATAATCTTACATGCATAAATACACAGAGCATATTTTCAGTGTTTTGTTTCAACATGAGCAAGAATTTTATTTTTTTTCTTTTGCAAGTTTTACAAACCAACTTTTTAAATGTTTCCCCTACTAGCTGCGTGTCTTTACCTCATGACTTCTGAAGAACGGAGAGATCTCCAAAGTGGCTCGAATTTCCTTTAACCTCGTTAGATATTTGTTCTGGAAAATAATACAAATAAAGAACAAAATTAGTCTGACATGTGCTTAGCAGAGGAAAACAGGCCCTGTTTTAAGCTTTATTCAGCCTCCAGTCAACTTTGACCATCTTTCTAGTCCCCACTGATGGAAAGCTTCCCCACACCATGATGCTGCCACCACCGTGTTTCACTGTAAATGTGGTGAGCAGTGTTAGGTGTTAGGATTTCACCACACGTAGCATTTTGTTTGAAGACCAGAAAGATTTTCTGTCTCAACCATGCAGAGCATCTTCTTTCTATTTTTCAACTAGGGCAACTGCTTGCTCTAGTTTTTGATTTATTTAGGGGTATCAGAGTAACTGAGGCTGGAAATAAAAGCACTGCACATCTTTCAGATTTGTATTTCTAAAAGCGTTATAGGTAGAAGTTTCATACTACTTCACAGTTATGTGCTACTTTGAGTTGTAATATATTCTTAGATAACCCTGCAAACTCTATACATAAGTATTATATATAAACGTATCAGCTTAAAATCAGCTCAATAATTTCCGTTCTGATGATTAATGTTTATTGCAGGGCAACAGAGAAATCATAATCCATTTCATTTTTTGTTTTATTAACTATTTTTGATTGTGTTTTATCTTAGATATTTAAAATAGCTTCCAGTACTAGGTGTTTGTTACAAAATTAAAGTTTATTGGTTTGTAAAAGGGCAAACTTGCACTATTATGCCACTATCAATATATGCTATTTGAAAATTGACTCAAAACCACAATATTAACATTTTTCGCAATAATTACTGGGACAAGTTACCATCCAGCAAAGTTTGCTAATAGTTTTGTTATAAAATATGTGAACAAGTAGCTACGCTTCACCGTGTTCCAGTTGGGAAATGAAACTAAAGCACAGAAATGTTTGACGTCGTCTGAATTGTTGCGGTTCTACACGACTGTAATCCAGACTGTTAAAACGTTCAGACACAGCGTCTACTTGTTCCTCAGACGCAAACATAATGATGGACATCCTACACAACTTCACCTCATCCTCCGATGCTTTACTGTCACTATTGTAATTGGCAGCTTATTGGCTCACAGAGTATTTTAGAAAAACACTCACCAATATCTCCGAATCTCCTCTTACAAAGTCATGGAAGGCTGTCACCACTTGTTCCCTTGTCCTTGTTTTCTTGAAATCTCTGTTCACAGTTCCATCTTCTTTCTACAGAAAAAAAAAACAAGAAAAAAAAAACAAGAGGAAATTAAAATTTACTGGCTTTATTACTCTCTGGAGTTGCAAAATCCGAGAAATGACCTTGCAGCTATTTGTAGACTGACAGTTAATGGATGTGTTTCTCATATGACCTTGTATTTCTATAGACGTTTCAAAATAAAACCTACTTCAGGTTGTCAGACAGGATAGAAAAATTTCATTCTTAATTTTTACACCCAGGGCCAAGTTGACTTGGACAACTTTTTTTCCATTAGTACATGAAATTGACATTTTAGTTTATTATGAGTACTTAGCATTAAAATCAAATAACTTGTTTGACAATCTGAAACATTTAAGTTTGACAAAAAAGAAGAAAAAAAAAAGCAGAAGAAATTTGAAAATCCTTTCTCAGGCTTCAGTCTTAGGAAAGCAGACAGACAGAAAAGGTAGGAAGGAGAAGAAAAGGAGAACAATGTGTGGAAGGAAGGCAGAAGGGTAGGAGATATATTTTTAGAAATTTAGCCTTTGAGCAAGAAAATATCTCTTTGTGTTTTTTTTTAATCTAAACATCCACACAGTAACTATTTTTAAACCTTCAAGCTTTCCACTTCATAGACCAAGTCTCGTCATCGTAAGTTTCCCACACTCCAAAAAAAGAGCGCGTTTTATGTTTCTGCTGCCAGTGCCTTTGTAGTAAAGAGTCTTCCTAAAATGAACTCATCAATGATTAAAACCATCACAACAGACCAAACTGTACACTTCCCTTCTAAAACGGCAAATGTGGAAGTATCAATGTTCAAAGTTGTAACAGAGTGCCGGTGTGTGAAGCCGAAGCGGTGACAGAAAATGCAACTCTGCAGCAAGCATGTTCTTACAGGAGGCGAGACCATTGATGGTCACTAGTTAGGTGGTTTAAAAAGGAATAAATTAGCTTTTCCTATTCCGCTCGCTGCCTAGCAACGAGGTAATATTTAGAAGCAAAAGTACTTTTTCTTTTTCTCTTTATGGCTTAAAGTCTGAAGAGTCTCTGATCCAATCTGCCCTTTACTCACACTTTACCATGTTTTCAGCTTACATAATAGAATCATTGCTACAGGTTTGGCCGTCCATGAAATGATGACAATCCATGCATAATTTTCCAAACGAAGAAGCACACACACACACACACGTCTTTTTCTGGGGATAATCCTCCACATCATGGCAGCGGACCACCAGGAGGTTGTGAATGTCCTTATATAGCCATGACTCCCACAGACAAAGGGACTTTGAGTGTGGACACAATATGTCAGAACCGTATGCCGAGGCCGACACAGCTGACACTGACAGAGCTCATAAAGGACAAGGGTACTCCTGTACCTTGAGAGGAAGTTCCTGGGAAAAAACAGGAAGTTAGGTCATATTCCTGAATTGACCACACAGCAGCGCAGACCGTTGGAAGAAAGAAGGGAAGGAAAGCTGCTCACACACACACACACACACACACACACACACACACACACCTTAGTCCCTCTTTGTGAGTCTTACCTTGACTCCCTCTATCCTGAACCCCAGGGTTGCCGTTGAACTTATTGTCTCTCTCCACTGCATGTATCTTGGCTTGGTCACTGCCTTCTTGTCGTTTTCCTCCAATGTGGGCGCCTCAGGGTCGACCTCGATCATTTTCTGATACATGTCGGGCCTCGGCGCAGGCTTTCTCCGAGCCTTGGTTAGTTCTTCCTCAAGGTAGGTCCTGAAAAATTAAGAGAAGCACATTTGGCGAGGGATGGAGAGGGAAATTACGTAAAGGTTACATGAGTAGAAACACACCTTACACTGCATATTGTTCCCATGGTTTTTAGCTCTACCTGACCTAGAGAGGTTATCTGCTGTCCCACAATATAGGGTGACAAGCAGCTCAATGGAGTTTTTCTAAATGTAACATTCAGTGTTATGTATAAACATGGTAAAAAGCGTACCTATGTGAGTGGCGTTAGCGTTTTGGAGAACCTAGTAACATCTAGTAAGTAGATGAGCAAAGATGTGTTAAGAAGTGGTTCTACAAAGCTTTGATTGATCAAAGCTGAATACGTACGGATGCACGTATGATTTTGCTCAAATCATAATTTGAGCAAAATTATGATCAAGATGATTCATTCGAACTGAGAGAAAAATTCAACAACAGCGTTTGAGTGAAAACAAAAGATGAAAAATGCATTTTGAGTGACGCAAACTTTATCTATTTTATGTAGAAAAGAGCTGTAACATTATCCTGCACAGGTAAGTAACTGGTGACTGGCGTATGTGCGAAGCCACATATCTTACTTTAAACTTGGCTTTTGCACCTTGAATTTTCTTTAAACTTAACAATATAAACCTAAGGCCCATTTCCCAACCAAAACTGGTTTTTTTGACCAGTCCAGTTTCAGACTTTAGAGTAAATGAGTGATAATTTTGACAGCTGATACTCTCAAACATCAACAGGGATTGGGATTATTTTGCTCTATGACGGTTAAAGGCGGAACATGTGGGGAAACGCAGCATTCAGCCAAATAAAATGCTTTAATCTTATTTGGCTGGGGAGAAGAAAATAATGAAACAGATGTAAATAAATTAACATAGGCCAGGCTGAAAATGCTGCACAATGACACAATTGCGTTTGTAGTTGACACGTAATAAAATAACTTTCCATCTCACATCTCAGACAACAGATGAGCTCCTCTGTAAGCCCAAAAACCTGGAGCAGTCGGTGGAATTAAGCACATCATGTAAAACATTTTTGCGAAAACAATTTTGCGTTCTCTCACCTCACTCCCATCTTACAGTCCATTACACACGGGTAGTCGAACTCTGCCAGCAGATCCTCCATCTGGTTGTACTTCTGGCCATCCTTCTCCACGTCTCCGTGATAACCAGGAACGTAGGGCTTCAGCACATCCTCCATCAGCCGGGACAAGCAGCGCTGCTCGCATTCACAGTGTTTCTAAAAGACACCGTTAGCAAGTGAGCATTTAAATCAGAATTACAAATATGAGGAAGGTGTTAACAACAGAGATGATCTGAAGCTAATTTCTTACTTTTAATATGCGTCCATTTGCACCCGCTTTAAAACTCCCTGTGAAGAGAAAAACCTTTAGAGTCAGGCGGCTGCGGAAAGAGCCTGAAGTGCCGTAGTTTAGGTTAGCTGACTGAAGACACTTCAGCTGTGATTTAGATCTCCGTTAAGCAAACCGGTTCTGTGGGGTCCAACACGATGATGTATAGCGCTAACGTTGCAGCCAACCATTTTTCAGCTAGATGTATCAGAGCACTTAGGATTCAACCGTCCCTTTCTTTTGTCACCAGGAAGTCGTCTGTGTTCTGCATACCTGCGTGTCCAGCCAGTTGAATCCAGGGATACTTCTTCTTGAAGGACATAACAAATGGAGACCAGTGGACCATGTTCTTTATCTTCTTCCATGACTTGTGCTGCATAAATAAACACACACAGAGAAACAAAGAGGCTTAGCGTATCTATCATGTATCTCTACTTTGTTACACTGCTATGCTTAGACTTGGTGCACGCTGACTTTCAGGATGTTTATTTGCGAGTAGCTGCATGGGCAGAGAATCAGCTGCTCTCCAAGAATGTATTAAGTGGAATATGAAAAAATCATTATCATTTAGCAAAAGTAGATAAGAGAGCCATAGCTAATAAAGGTTAACCTCAGGAAGGTGTACAACCTCAACAACATGCACTGTGGTCTTATCTGTTCTCAAATGGAAAAACAAGAATTACAAGGCAAACAGAAACAGTTTTTTGATAAGAGTGTTTACTACCTTAAAAGTAAAACCAGTTTTCTGACATATTCAGTTTCAACCCAGTTTAGACTAATATTTGAGGCAAGCTTAGAATTCGACACAATCTGCTTCTGGTCTTTGAGCAGCTGAGATGCCTGTTGATCAACATTTTAAACAAATAAAAGAACATTTTGAATGTAATTTGCCACCACCTAGTGGTATGAGTGTGAAGTACCACTACCTGCAGTATAAAAAGATTTAGCTCAATATTTTGCACGATTATCTCGTTGCACATTTGCATCATACCTATATTTTGCATGGACTGCATTAGCTATATTCAAATAAACAATCTCCATTAGAGTTAGTATCTGCTTCACAGCTAAGCACAATTAACTTAATTTCTATACAACTGTTTACAATCTGAGGCAGTAGAAGGTTGTGAAGCAGTAGTATATACACAGCACCGTTTAACAACCCTAATAAACTGAATGGCTGCATTATGTATTTACCCTTGAAATGCAAGTTTAAATAAAGAAGAGAAGCAGCAGCAGTTAAAGTCGATCTTTAAATATGTTGGCTAATTATCTGCTTTTCACAGTTTTGCTAAAAATCTATGAGAGGCATAATAAACACGTGCACCTAAAAAAACACACACACACATTGTGTTGACTATCCGTGACCTCGGGGAGCCAACTTCTCCTTTTTTTTTTTTTTACATTTGTTGTTTTCTAACATTTTAACTAAACTCTGGAGAACTGAGCCAGGGTTTCCTCTGGCAACTCACACAAACACAAACAGACCCAGCGTTTCAGCAAAGGCTCGCCCTGTCCCTGGCAGGGATGCACTGAACTGTGGGAGTCCTGCCTCACAAAGAGACACTCATTCACAAAGTGACACACACACACACACACACACACACACACACACAAACACACACATATACACGCGCACACACACAACATTGTTGTTTCAACATAAACAGCTTTTCTCTGATTTAAATCCAACTCTTCCTTTTTTTTCTTTTTTTACTAGTTCTGTGGCTTTATAGTGCTCAGACTTTCCTTCATTAATCGTGTTTTCCATATTTTGTTACAACCACAAATTTCATTGTAACTTATTGAGCTTTTATAGCTAGAACAACATAAATTAGTTCATAACTGTGAAGCGGAAGAACGTCTTACAAATAAAAATCAGAAAAGTCTGGTGAGCATTTATATCAAGCACTCGCTTCTCTCACACACACACACACACACACACACACACACACACACACACACACATATATATATATAAAATTCTGTGCAATTAAAATCCTTTAGAGGTCGTTTGATTAGGAAATTATGTCAGAATTAGTGTAAATTAAACTCAGTATAAATAAAGTTGCACACAATAAAGCATAGGTCTTGAGAAAAAGCCGCAAGATCAAAGCTACTATTGAAATAGAATCATAAGATATTATGCCTTCATGTGGAGAAGATGCTCTCTGGTCAGATGAGTCCAACATTAAACCTGTGTGGGACTGTGAAACAGTTTGGGACTTGTGTCACAGTCTGCAACTGTGAAACAAGGTGGTGGCAGTATCATGCTGGGAAGCCTCAATCTGCAGAAAGTTTAGTTTAAAAGCTGGCACAGATATACCAAAAAAGAGTTGCAGCTGTTACTGCAATAAAGGGGGGTTTCTGCAAAAGTACTGACTCGGGGGGGTGGGCTAAAAACAATGCCATGCCACACTTTTCAGATTTATTTCTTGTAAATCATTTAAAAATTATGTTTAACTTCTGTCCGCCTTATAATTATACACTACTTTGTGGATGCCTATGAAAAAAAAAATTACAATTCGCAGAGGTTTGTGGTTGGAGTGTGACTTTTGCTGAGAAGTTGTTTTTACTCTGCATAAATAAACCGGGTGCACAACAACTCTGGGAAATCTAAAATAGAAATAAAACAGACTTTTAGTTCAGTGAACAAACCAGTATTATACTCGATCTAAATCCCAGCAATCCAAGACGCTTTTTTTTTTTTTGTTGTTAACAGTGGAATCATTACATCAGATGTGGAAAAATTCAGCTCGACTCTGAGAGTTCAAACAAAGCTTGGCTGTTCAACAACAAGGTCACCAGCGATTGCAGCAGAGCTGAAAATATGTGTTGAAAAATCCAACTTCCTAAACACCGCTCGACTGATATTATGACAAAATCCTCTCGCTTCACGTTGCAAATAGAAAGTTAAAGTTGACCTCACTGAGAGAAGATTTCCTCCGGTCTGTGAGCATCAGGAGAAATAATATTATGTCTCCAAATAACTCGGGGGTAGAAGAAGAGCAGCAGGAGGAGAAGTGAGGAGAAGAGGGATAAGATAAGAGAGGAGCGGACCATAGAAGGAGACATTTAACCCAAGTCCAATAATCTGGACCTGAAGAAAATTCATCAGCTGTTACTATGACTATCTATGGTTAAACGTGTCCACACACGTTCATTCAAAGCATTCAGAAGTCACGTGATGCCTTTTTTCTTCTCTGGACCAGTGAAGGGGTTAGGAAAAAACTCAAGCAGCAAAAGACACCCAAACCCTGACGTTTACAGAAATCACATGATGGAAACTCATTTAAGAGTGAGGTCATCTGAAATGGGTCCCTGAGCAGAAAGTCTAAACTTTTCTCAGTTCGAGAGGTCCAATAAACAGAGAATGTTTTCTTTTATATTTAACAAGAAAAAAAAAAAATCAAAAAAATCAAAGGAGAGCGGGTTGTTTAAAGGGAAAATTATGGCGTCCTGGAGGCAGGAAATCGCTTCGTTTACACGTGTTATCCAGTAATTAAGGCTGGAAATTAAACAAAACGGCTAAAACATTCAGTTATCAACCAACGGATTTGTTTTTGCTTTCTAAACACTCATAAAGCTCGTTTTTGTCAACTTGTTTAGCCTATGGGCAGGAAGGAAAAGAGCGGCGGCTACTGGCTGAAGTTTGTGCTTCCCCTGTGAGTTCTGTCATACTTTCCAGCATGCAAGGCGAGAGTCTGCACCAGCTTAACAGAGCAACACCCAGCATGGTCACTATGTGCACGTCGCAGAAAAGTACTTCAGCAGTTTTCATAAATGAAAAAGAAACTCAATCATCAAATATTCCACCTGGAATCACCACTTCCCAGTGAAGTCTTGCTAGTTCTAGTTTGTTGAAAGCGAATCCTTCAGCAGGCGTAAATCTGAGTTGAAAAATCTCCTGCGTGGGTTACCTGAGGGCTGCTGCGTCGGTGGATGACGGTGATGATGAAGATGGCTACGAGCGATGCCACAACACTCCACAGTGAGCACAGCCATGCAGACCACATCGTGACAGATGGGCTGCCAGTCAACCAGGCAACCTGACAGAAGCGACGACCTGACCGGCCCGCGCTCCGCTCACAGCTGGAAAACCCGGCTCCTCGGGCGCCTCTCTCCCGACCTCAGCGACATTTACACCTGTGTGTGTGTCTGACTGCGTGCAGGCACAAACAACTGCGGGGTCATTTGATTGGCAAAACAGAGGGTAAACATAATCTGGGCATGCAAATCTCCACACAGGTCCCCGACGATTGAAAAACAGATGGAGCAACGTGTGTGTGAGTCTGAGAATGCAAAACAATCTAGATTTAATTAGAAGTCAAGCAAATTCCTCAGAGATATGTTTCATATTTGAAAGCAGTTAGAGGTTTTTTTTTATATTATTCTTTTTTGTGGGTGAATAAAAGATTGATGACAAGAAAACCACAACAATGGCTAATATAAACAAAAGGAAGCATTCAAACCAGCATTCCCCACACTCTATGGCAACATACTCAGCACTTTACCGCAGACTTCATGTGAATTTTAATTACTTAAACTCACAATGCACCTAAGCAATCAAAGGCACTGTCCAGTTTATCTACATTTTGTGACAATTCGACTAACTATAACAAATTCTATTGACTGTATTACTTCCTGTTTCTGTCAGCATTTCTTAAAGACGTGTAACTAAATAAACTGCAGGTTGTTGTTGTTGAATTAGGAAGCTGATGTATCATGATGATTCCATTCGCATCTTAAACAGAACTTAATTTTATCTCTTGTACTTCCTCCAGCCTATACTCGTCAATCCTTTTGTACCTTTAAAACGGGAAAATATATTGGGAAATTAATTTTTCAACATGGACTGCACGGCGACGCAGCTGGCAGCACTGTTGCCTTGCAGCAAGAAGGTGCTGACTGCACCAGTCTCACAGTGAAACACGGTGATGGCACTTTTCCTTCTGCAAGCTCAGGGAAGCTGGTCAGAGTTGACGTAAAGGTCGGTGGCGCAAAATATAGTACAATCGAGGAAGAAAACCTCGTTGGAGTCACAGAGCACTTAATCGTGGAGTAAAGGTTCATCCCTCAGCAGGAAAACAGGTCTACACCTTCGGTCGGAGCTGCAATGGAACCGTTTGGATCAAAGCATGCTCATGAGTTCGTGTGGATCAGTCAAGGTCAAAACTAAATACAAAATAAAATGTGGGACAAGACTTGAAAATAAATGATTAGAGATGCTCTCCATTCAATCTGACAGAGGTGGAGCTATTTTGATAAATGGGTGCAAATCTCAGATTCTGGATGCACTGAAAAAAAATGAAACTCTAACTTAAAGATTTGTGTTGGTCATAAGAAATAGAATGAAATTCATCAAACGTACTTTAA